CCCGGGAGGCTGAGGCAGGAGGATCACCCAGGAGGTCGAGGCCGCCATGAGCTGTGAACATACCACTGCACTCTAGCCTGGGCAACAGAGCAAGACCCTGTCAAAAAAAACAAAAACAACTGGGTCAAATTGGAGTCTTTCTGGGACCCAATTTCCTCTCTGAACAGGTTGGGGCGCTCTCACAGCCAAGAGGAATCTTGCGGGGTGGTGCTGGGCTGGACCCGCGAGCCCAAGCAGAGATGGTTTAGTGTTGGAGGAAACAGAGGAAAGGCCACTTGAGACTCTGAGGTGGCGGGGAGACCTGAAGCTAGACTGCAGGCACTGGACGACGGGTTTTGCCGGCGATCGGGGCTGCCCCCCAAGGGCAAGGATCCAAGAAGCCTGTTGACAAACACTGGTACGTTGCCAGGAGGCCCCGGCTCCCGCAGGCCCGGGCTGTTGCTAACATCAAGCAGCTGTTGATGGAGCCGCCTCCCGGCGGACCGGCCTCCGGCGTCGCCGTCTACTCTCGTACTACCAGAGCTCACGGGGCCCTCCCTCCAGGGGGTCTCACCCTCGCTGGCCTGGGAAGCCAGAGCTGGAGGACGCTGACTCCAGCACTCTGCCTCGCCGCCAGGCCCGGGACGGGCACTGCCGGCTTCGGCCGCTCCCGCCTAGTCGGCCGGAGCTGGTTAACGCCCCGCGCTTCTCCCGCCTCCGCCCCGCCCGGCAGAGTCGCGGCCACGCGGTGTTTCCATTGGGCAGCATGATCCGGGGCCTTCCGGGGCCGACCAATCCGCGAGCAGGAAGGCCGGCGTCGGGCGCGGACCGCGAGAGGCCGCGGACGGGGGCTCGGAGAGACCAAAGGAGCTGGGGGCGGGGTGGAGGGGCGCGGACGCGAAGTTCTTGTCGGCCTCGTGAGGCGGGGGTAGCAGAGCGCCTCGGAACTCGCGCCGCGGGGCCGTCCCAGCCGGCGAGGGTAGATAGCGAGGGTGTGGCCCTTATCTGCACCCGGCGCGGTGGGGGCCTGCCGGTTGGACCTCCTGCGCCGTCATTTTCTCTCGTGCCTCCCTGCCTCCTGTGAGTGAGTCCTGGCAAGCCCGGGCGGGATCGCTCTGCTCCTCGAGCCAGCCTCGCGCGCTGCCTTAGTTTCCCCGAAGCAGTGGGTGGCCGCGGGCGGGATGCGGAACCGGCGGGGCTTCTGGGTGCCCCGGCCTGCCTGTCCACGTCGCCCCCTCTCTCCCAGGCGTCGCGATGGGCCGGACCGTGGTCGTGCTGGGCGGAGGCATCAGCGGCTTGGCCGCCAGTTACCACCTGCGCCGGGCCCGCTGTCCCCCTAAGGTGAGTGCCCGCCGCGCCGGAGGGGGCCTCGCTTGACACCCGCCCCCGAGTCCCCCGCGCGCCGGCCGGGTCCTGCCTGACCCCTTGCCCGCGGGCGGCGCTGCAGCGTCTGGCTCTCGTCGCCAGGTGGTCCTGGTGGAGGGCAGCGAGCGTCTGGGCGGCTGGATTCGCTCCGTCCGAGGGCCGGACGGTGCGGTCTTTGAGCTCGGACCTCGGGGAATTAGGCCGGCGGGAGCCCTGGGAGCCCGGACCCTGCTCCTGGTGAGAGACTTGAGGGATGTCCACGAGGGGTTGCGGGGGGCCTCCCTAGGGGACAGAGCCTGGGGGGACTGTATCTGGTGGTCAGCCCCTTCCTTAGTTGCCCCTCTTTCTGAGGGCGCGTGGAGAGCAGGTTTCCGAGCTAGGCTTGGACTCCGAAGTGCTGCCTGTCCGGGGAGACCACCCAGCTGCGCGGAATAGGTTCCTGTATGTGGGCGGCGCCCTGCACGCCCTGCCCACCGGCCTCGGGTAAGGCATCGTCTCCTCCTCCTCCTCCTCACGTGCCCTCTATCCCTCCATCTCCCTGTCTGTGGGCCCTCGCAGCAGAGAGGGACGCACGAATGACCCCAAGGAGTTGGAGAGGTGGGTCAGGGGCTCCCTCCTCACCATGCCTTCCTCCATGCAGGGGGCTGCTCCGCCCTTCACCCCCCTTCTCCAAACCTCTGTTTTGGGCTGGACTGAGGGAGCTGATCAGGCCCCGGGGCAAAGAGCCTGATGAGACCGTGCACAGTTTTGCCCTGCGCCGCCTTGGACCTGAGGTGACACTGCTCAGGGGGCCCAAACCTCTCCCCTCCTAAACCAGCGGCAGAGACCCCTACACAAACTTCCCACTTAGGGGCTCTTTTGAATCAGTTGGGAATGCTCTCTTCTCTTCACACTGTCTCCCATAATTCCCAGAACTCTGCTGGGAGTGAATGCCTTCACTTCCTTTTCATCCATTCCAGTGAGAATGCCCCCATCCCGAACCTTCCCCTATCCCCTTTCCCCACCGGATAGGAGCAGTGGAAATCAGTCAGTGCAGCTTGTTCCTTGGCCTCTCAGTCCCAGTCTCACACTTAAGGTGGCGTCTCTAGCCATGGACAGTCTCTGCCGTGGAGTGTTTGCAGGCGACAGCCGCGAGCTCAGCATCAGGTCCTGCTTTCCCAGTCTCTTCCAAGCTGAGCAAACACACCGTTCCATATTACTGGGGCTGCTGCTGGGGGCAGGTGAGGGGGGACTGGCTCAAAGGGTGAAGATACTAAGGACTGCCAAAGTGAGGGACTGGGGTAAGGGATGCTCCTTTGATGATTCTTCGCTTCCTCTGCAGGGCGGAGCCCACAGCCAGACTCAGCACTCATTCGCCAGGCCCGGGCTGAGCGCTGGAGCCAGTGGTCCCTTCGTGGAGGTCTGGAGATGCTGCCCCAGGCACTTGAAGCCCATCTGACTAGTAGGGGGGTCAGTGTTCTCAGAGGCCAGCCGGTCTGTGGGCTCAGCCTCCAGCCAGAAGGGCGCTGGAAGGTAGGGGAGCACCCTGGAGGGTAACAGACCTGTTGGCATTTCCATCTTTGTCTAAGTGGCTTAACTAGGCCAGGCTGATAGGACTGGAGTTACTCATTGCCTTCTTGCTTAGAAGCTATTTATTTATTTATTTTTAGTTGGAGTCTCACTCTGTCGCCTAGGCTGGAGTGTAGTGGCACACTCATGGCCACCACAGCCTGAACCTGCTGGGCTCAGGCGATCCTTCTGCCTCAGCCTTCCTAGTAGCTGGAACTACAGGCGTGCACCACCATGCTCAGCTAATATTTTGATTTATAGTAGAGATAAAGTCTTACCAAGTTGCCCAGGCTGGTCTCAAACTCCTGGGCTCAGACAATCCTCTCCCTTCCACTTCCCAAAGTGCTGGGATTACAGGTGTGAGCCACCATGCTCCACTTTTTTTTTTTTTTTTTTTGAGTCTGAGTCTCACTCTGCCACCCAGGCTGGAGTACAGTGGCATGCTCATGGCCACTACAGCCTCAACCTTCTAGGCTTAGGCAATCCTTCTGCCTCAGCCTTCCAAGTAGCTGGAACTACAGGTGAGTACCACCACGCCCAGCTAATTTTTTGATTTATTGTAGAGACGAGGTCTTGCCATGTTGTCAAGGCTGGTCTTGAACCCCTGGGCTCAGGCAATCCTCTCACTTCTGCCTCCCAGAGTGCTGGGGTTACAGGTGTGAGCCACTGTGCCCAGCTCTTAGAAGCTATTTAGACGGACTACCTCAGGTTCCTAGGCCTTATCTGTAGACCTTACTCAAAGACCCCTTTGATGCAAGTCTGTGGATAGAAGTAGCACTTGCAGGTGGCTCAGGGGATAGGGGAGAAAACAACCCAGATGAAACAATTCAGAGCAGCCACACCAGCCCATCTGGCCCATTTCCTCGAGTGTTTAGAGGAATAGTTTTTGTGCAGTCTACATAGTCATCTGGTCTCTTCATTCTGGGTTACCACCCAGTGTTTCCTGCCACTTGGGGCCTGGGAAACTGAGTGAGTCAATTCTCACTTCACCCATAAAATCCTTATTACCTGTGTCTCTCAAATGTTTTCATCCTACCCCACAAAACCATAATAAAAAATATTGATTCATAAAAAAAAAATGTTTTCATTCTCTCAGGTGTTTCTAGGGGACAGCAGTCTGGAGGCTGACCATGTCATTAGTGCCATTCCAGCTTCAGGTAATGGGGCGGCCACCTTCCCCTTCCTCAACCCGTGGGAGGCCATAGCTGTACCTTCCTGGGACAGTGGGACACCATCCCCCGTACTGGTTATCCTGATGGGAGTCTAACCCAGTTGTAGCGGGAAGGCCTTCTGAGTGAGGCCTCTGCTGATGTCCTCCAGTGCTCAGCAAGCTGCTCCCTGCTGAGGCTGCACCTCTGGCTCAGGCCCTGGGTGCCATCACTGCTGTGTCTGTAGCTGTGGTGAACCTGCAGTACCGAGGAGCTCACCTGCCTGTCCAGGTATGTCACAGGTGGAAAGGGGAGATGTGGGCTCTGCTGGAACCCATCTCTCTTGACCCACACGTCTTCTCTCCAGGGATTTGGACATTTGGTGCCATCCTCAGAAGACCCAGGCGTCCTGGGAATTGTGTATGACTCAGTTGCTTTTCCTGAGCAGGATGGGAGCCCCTCTGGCCTCAGAGTGACTGTGAGAGGAGGGAAATTTACTTAATGGCATTTCCAAAGGGCTCCTCTCTACTCACTATAGGAAAGGACATACTGGTCAGTGCTCTGTTCCCTCCCTAGGTGATGCTGGGAGGCGCCTGGTTACAGATGCTGCAGGCCAGTGGCTCTGTTTTATCTCAGGAGCTGTTTCAAAAGCAGGCACAGGAAGCAGCTGCCACACAACTAGGACTGAAGGAGCCACCAAGTCATTGTTTGGTCCATCTACACAAGGTAAGCTGTGGTAAACCTCCCTCGACTCTTCATTTCAGGTTTAAGGCAGAGGCTGGTATATTTGTCAGCATATGTCAGCCAAGGCCTGGGATGGCATGATAAACTCTTCCCTGCATCCTTTCATCTCTTTCCAGAACTGCATCCCCCAGTATACACTAGGTCACTGGCAAAAACTGGGTAAGTTGGGAGAGCAGCTGGGCTGAGGAGGGCCAGGAAAACCAGACCCCCAACTACAGTTGTGACCTTCCTTTTGTCCTTGCCTTCCAGAGTCAGCTCAGCAATTCCTGGCTGCTCAGAGGTTGCCCCTGACTCTGGCCGGTGCCTCCTATGAGGGGGTTGCTGTCAATGACTGTATAGAGAGTGGGCGCCAGGCAGCAGTCCACGCCCTGGGCATAGAACCTGACAGCTGATTCCAGCTCCCACTCATGACAATAAAAATCACTGGATCTCAGCTTGGTCTGGTTTTTCTGTCACCTCTGGGCATAGGAGTTAGGGGGCAGGGGGAGAGCGAGAGTAGCCAGGTGTGCTTGGAATGCAGAAAGCAGGAGCAGAGGCGAGACAAAGTCCTTTATTAGAAAATATATCAAAATCCCAGCCCCCTGAGCCAGGACCAGAAGAGAGAGCCACTCCAGCACTGGCAGAAAGTACCCAGGCAGGGGCTTCCTTCACCAAAGCACTTCCCGGACCATAAATAGGATAAATATTCACAGAAGTCCTGGAGAAGCCAGATCACGCTTTTCTCCATGGAAGAGGAAGGGGCTTGGGGTCCAGCCCTGCTCCTACCCCAGGGGCAGGGGACTCCCAGGAGTTGTCACATAAAAGAATGACATCAAGGATTCACAGTCATAAGCCCTGCAGGAGACCCTAGAAAGAGGGACCTCCCCAGGTCTAGAGGAGCCCAGCTCCAGTCCAGCAGTGAGGAGAGGCCCCTGCCCCCCAGCATAGCACTGGAGTTCAGCTCCCCCACATCCCTCTAAGAGCAGTGAGGAGCTGAGGGTGGGGAGAATACAACCCCTTGAATTCAGTTTCATGATTAAAGTGGGCAGGAAGGAGGAGTCAGTGTGAACCCCGGAGGGCTGTGTGGTTGGCAGTAGGCAGAGGGCCAGGCCTGGCTGGGGGCCGGCGCTGCAGCATCTCTTGACGGAAGGCCTGGGAGGACCCAGGTGGGTAACGGGGACCAGAGGGAGCCCGGGGGCCCCGAGGGTCAGTTCCAATGTCTGCTGTGACGTTAGTATAGAGAGGACCCAGCTCTCGAGCCAGCAGTCGGTATGTTAGCGAGTTCATCCCATCTTGCGTCCAGGAATTCTGGGTACGGACCAGGAGGTCAAATCTGAGGGTCAGAGGTTGGAGACTGAGACCCAGAGAGGGACCTTGAGGAATTTCCTGGCTAGGTAAGAGCCCCGAGGATCCAGGATCAACTCCTGGCAGCCCCTCTTTCCTACCTGTGGGGGTTTTCCTCGTTGCCCTTATCTCCTCGGTGCTTCACCATCTTATAGTGTCCTACAGATGTGGGGGGCCGAGAGATCTTCATCCCAGCCAGGCGCACCCTATGGGAGAAGCGAGGGATCATGGGGGATCCAGGGCGGAGGAAGGCTGCTGACCTATTACTAAAAAGAACTCAGGCCAGCAAGGAAGGGACTGTCGGTCTTTACACAAAGAACAACAGTTACTAGTTAGGCCAAAAAACAGCCAAGTACTGGAAGTGGGGAAAGCCCAACAGAAAGAAGGAAATGGCTGAAGAGATGTGAAAGCTGCATGTGTCCAAACCTCAGGGCCCAGCACCATGCACCCTGGGGCCTTTAAACAATTGGCAGAGGTAGGTTTGCACCTCTTCCTCTTGGTTACTAAACAGAGGTGCCCTTGCACTCTGGGAAGGACAGGGAGAGAGGCTATTATGTCAAGAAAGGATATGAAAAGACTGGGAGTTGCAGACCCAGGCTCAGCAATTTTTATTTATTTATTTATTTTACTTTTTTATTTTATTTATTTTATTTTTTTTAGTTGGAGTCTCACTCTGTCGCCCAGACTGGAGTGCAGTGGCCGCTCCCAGCCACCGCAGCCTTGCCTGCTGG